TGCCGGCAAAGCAGTATAATGCTAGTAGGTTATCTAATTACAATTGTAACCGTTGGGAGAGCTTAAGAAAATATTATAGAATAAAGGCCAATTTAACTCCAACAGTGTACGAGAAATAAATATAAACTTGGAGAAGCGAAGTGGGTCTTTTATAATTGTTAAGGAACTAGTAGGGTGATAGGGCACTATAGAGTAATACTTTGATATCAATGAGTAATGATAATGGGTGATGCAATGACAGGCAATGCTGTTAAGGGTGATAATAAAGTGGTCATCTTAAAGACTGTGATGGATTACAAGAGTTGAATAACAGTGTCATTCTCTACCACAATTTCCACAAGTCACTAATGTGAATTGCAATATCTGATTCCACAAACGTTCTAGAATCTGAACCTTAATAAGCCAAATTAAAGATATAAGTCAATTCAGTCTGTCGAATTGAGTCTCGTAAGGGTTTATTAAAGTTACAAGTCAAATTCAAAAAACAAGACACAAGGGACAATTCAGATATGTATATACACTTTATTGTTTATTAGGAATTGAAAGTGAACATGAACTGTCACTCTTTATTAAATTACAGGCACTTATATACATTTTGTTTTATTAGAGTGTTTACGTTTAATTTTGAATGTATATGCTCTTTTTTGAACGTATATGCATGCCGCAGAGATCTACAAATTTGAGAGATTTTTTTTTAGCTGCCCATACGTAAGTATCAGAGCAGCATTTTGTCCCAAATCAGTCACGGGAGTATATTAATTGATCGGGTAATGCGGGTCATGATTTATTGATTGATGCGTCAAATGTCATATTGTATGATTTTTAGTCTTTTGCATTGTTATGATTTATTGCATGATTCGCTTGATCCATTGTATGATGTTATGATGAAATGAAGTAATTTTGCGATTAGTAATCGCTAGTAGTATTTTAAAGGGAACGAGTTTTTTTCCACGAAAGGTAATTTCTGTTTTTTCTGCTAACCCAACTTTGTCTGGTTTTTTTGTGCTATACCTTATACCTTATATCTTATATCTTATATCTTATACTGTATGCATTGTACCTACTTTTCGTGAAAGAAATAATTAGTTGTTTCGTTAAACGACAGTCTAAGCAAAAAAAAAAAAAAGGGAAGAAAAAAAAAAACAAAAAAAAAAAAGAAGAAAATCGATTTAGCGTTGTACTTATCTTTATGTTGTCATCGGATAAGAAATCAAATTCTGTCATATTAAGTGATACACCAGCTCAGCAGGACATGTCGCAAGCGGCCTTGGAATCAAACCTGGAGCATTTATCATTAGAAGCGTTGAGGTTCGTCTGTAAGGTGTCGGGAGTACAGATTTAGGCCAAAAGAAGGAAGTTGTGGCAAGGCTGGTTAAGGAAGGTAGAGTCCAGTTGGGGCCAGATGCGTTCATTGATGTCTCCAAGGTACCTGGAAAAGGGAAGGATGTGCAACCGCAGCCATTAGAGAACAGGTGCGAAAGTTTATTGGAGGACCCTGATATATGCCAGTGGACTGGTGATAGGTCCCAACAGTTGAGATCGGGTATACAAAACCCTCCAGACTCTTTTGAAAGGCAGGCCATGCTTAGTTCGAACCTGGCACATAACAGGCCTTGGGATAAAGAAACTATGAATTGGGGTGCGAATTTTGGTGTCTTGACGTTAAATGATGTGGAACGTAAGGATATGTGGGAAAAACGTAAGTTGTCGAAGCAGCATAATCAGTGGAAGTATAATGAATGGTGTA